ATTCAAAGTTGAGTATGAGGACTCTAAAGAACAAGTTTTTGGGTAGTGGATCTTGACAACCTGTGGAATTGCCATTGATTTTTGACTGGTTAAAGATGAGTCTAAATCTGTAATATACAAGCATTTCATTGCCATTTTGTTATAGCACAAATTTAAGTTCCCTGCTTTTTCCAGACTGGGGTACAGAAGCAATTGGATTCTTCCTTAGTGCTGAATATTTAAAGGATAAAAAACTTTTGCCATGTGGGTGGCCTCTCTGTGCCTTAACTCCCTCATCTCTGGAATGAGTATAACTATAGAATTTGACTCACAGAGATTGCAGACAATAAAGTAAGAAGTTGAATGTGGAATCCGTAGCATGGTGTCTGGGACATAATAACACTATACCCATGAATGCTGAATTATTGATAATAATAGCAATAATTAGTGCTACCCTGTTTACCATCCCAACTCAGTTTAGAGCCAGCCTTTGCCTGTTCATTTCATGGGACACACCAGATAAGGCCCGGTTGGAGAAGTTGGTCTGGAAATGTTGTAGGATGCACTCCTTTTGGATATCTTGGGAAAGCTTGCTTTAAAATTCCTCAATTCCAAGGGTAGCACTCTGTCCCCCCACCTTCCACCCCTACCCCGTTGTTGCCATCACCATGGCAAACACTCTAAAAAGAAAAAAATCCAAATCACCTGATTTTCCTTGAGAGTTGTTTTCTTTCCGCCCTTTGGTAAGAAGACTCTAAAAAATAAAGTCCATAAGTGATTCCCAATCAGCAGGTCAAATTCTGCTATCCCTCGTGTATGGATTGTGTTCACTAGAATTACTGCTTCCCAGAATGCCAGAAATAAAAAAATCTTAATGGATCTGTTTCATTCCATTTCTTCACTTTATTCCTACAGAAAATACAAGTCATATTTTAACTAAATCATGATTTTTACTACCAGTGACCATGTAAAAATCATGTACTTAGTATTAAAAGGTGGTAACAACATCTCGTACTAATTAAAGCAATTAAGCACTGAGAAAGTGCATGGGTTGGGCTGAGCGCACTGGATTACAGTGGTAAATCAGACCTGAATTCAGCCTCAGGAAAGTTCATAAGTAAGTGGAGCCTGCTAAGATCCCAGTTATTGCAAGGCGAAGCTATGTAATGTTGCTGATATTCGGTTGTTTGTGTCATTCCAAATGGCAATTCATTTGGCTTGAACTAGTGCTATGAGCAGGTATATGATGTTGCTGCAACATATCTCAGGAGACTGAAGAGATCACTCCTGTGATATCTTCTGAAATGGCACAGAGTTTGAAAATTTGTAAAAGCTAGCAAGGTAGGGAGATAGCATGTGTGGAGTGAGATAAGTGTTGCAGAATGAGGCTAGATAGGTAAGCAGTACCTTCCCTGTTGGGAAGATATTGATTTAATAAAGATACTGACTTTACTCTATGGGCACTGGGAGGAGAGGTTTTTAAGCAGGAAGATAAGTGATATCATGAAATAGTGTATTTTGTATTTGTGTCATTTTTAAAGTTAACCTTAGTCATAACTTAATAGCATTAAATTTAAAAATCCTGTTTCCTTAAAAGTCACTTGCCTGCCAAGAGAGCCAGTGACCACAGCCTGTAAGAGTGGCCAGAGCCAAATCAGTTCAGGGGCTTCTGTAGCTGAGCAGGCAGGAGCTGGTGTTTGGCAGCTTGCTTATAAGATGATTTCAAATGTATTGTCTTAGTTTGTGCTTATAACAACTTTCCCATAATAGGAGGCATATATTATCAGCTTCAATGTCCAGATGTGGAAGCTGGTTCCAAGGGGAGCTGCCGGTCCGGCACCCCTGGATGTCTGCAGTTGATCTAAGAAAGGAGTTGTCTTTAGGAAATGGAGTTCTCCTTCCTTGGTGTAGGAGAACAGTGAGAAAGAAATTTTAAGCCTCTTTATGACTGAGGGTTGAGTAAGCAAATATGGTATAGAACTTCACGTTACAGGACCTCCCTGATGGCGCAATGGGTTAAAGCTCAATACAGTGAAGCTACCCAAAGCTACCCATGGTTGCTTCAGCAAGAGTTTGACCCCCAGCCAAGGTGTGGCAGACCTCTCCTGTCCCACCTGCTGCTCCCCTCACCAGTGTACTTCGTCAATCTGCCTGTCCTGCTCCCCGCTCTGTCTCTGATGAATCCTCTTAACCACCCCTGCACCTCTAGCCTATACCCCAGTTCTGTGTGCATAGATAATTAAATCTAAAAAAAAGTTGATACTAGATTGGGACATTTTTTTAAATTTAACTTCATGTATTCATAGATTTATGTATTATACTCTGACTAAATCCAAAAGTGGATTTGAAATGGCTTTCAAAACTAGGACTGGTGAGACAAGATGAAAAAAGAGGGTGTAAATCAGCACCTACTAATTACAATGATGCCATAGGTGTTCAAGTCTAACAAACTCACAGGCCTACTGTTGCTGGAGACGAAATCCTAAGCAACAGATAAAAATAAGCCAGTTGTTCCACTTAGAGGAATTGTTTCTTCTATTCATTGAAAAATGTCTTCATCTGGTTTCCACGAAGACTGTAGGGTCTTGTGAGCAAAGTCCATTGCTGTTGCACAGGTGAGGAGCTGTTGAGGGGATAAGAGTGATTACAGTGTGTCTGGAGGCCCTTTTCTTTAGAACTTGCCCTACAAATTGTAGATGTCATTATAGAACCTTTGGTAGGACAGTTTCTTCCATAGTAAAATTAAAGATTTGGGCCTAGGCTGGACTTTTCAAGTTAGGTAGCTTTAGGGCTACCCAATACTGTGGCAGGATAGATGTGGAGCCTCAGGCAAGCATGGCTTGTGAGTTTTATTTGAAGTCTAATGGCAAAACAATACAAAAGTTTTTATGAAGTGGTTTGCATTTGGAGTCATTCTAGAAACTCTGATTTTTGGGGGGAAACAAGCAAGGGAGGTTCATGTTTTACTTTGGGGAAATTTTCTGCTCCTTGAATAGTAATGAGAGATGCATTCAATAATCCTTCTTTTCCCCATTCAGATACAGCACAAAACAATAAGTATTCTGCTTACACATTGATCATTTACTTTCAGTCTCTAAAGTTTACAAGTCCATTACTACGACAAACCTTAAAGGAGAATTTTTGCCATTACACAAAGAAAGAAAACACAATTCTGACAGGCATGTGCCAGGAATCATGCTTCCCAGATATCTTCTCTGTTCCCTATACAATCCTACATGAATTATCTTCACTGTATGAATGAGGAAACTGGGACTCAAAAAGTTGAGTCAATTTATTGGAATTCTTTTAGGTAGCCAACAAATGGTACCATAACCTAAATTGTATTCTACCTTGACTGGGCCTAATTATTTCCACTCCCCACCTGTAATTTGCCCATTTACTTTTATTTATCAAACACTGTTGATCATTTGGCTTTATCCAAGACACAGCATTTAGGGAATGCTCCTCACAGACTTGGGTGTGGATTATATCCTTTGAGAAGTAGTTTAACAACTATTACTCTACAGTTTATTTGAGGGTGTAACTTTTTCAGAAGTAGATCATTGATAATAAGGATTAAAACTAGCTCATGTTTACTTTTATTGCTTGCATTCCCATAATGGAATGGATTGCATTGAATGCTCTATTCGTCACTGCAATATGGAGTGAAACTGACTTTAGAGACCATTTAATCACAGGCGACAATACAGGAAACTCCCTGTAGTCTTAAAAACCAAGTGGTGCTCCAGCACAGCTGTACTGGGCAGTGAGTGGGTCGGTCAGGGAGGTGAGCTGAAGGTGCTTCTTCATGTCACCCTCTTCCTCCACTGCAAAGAGCACCTTGTTTTTTGGCAAAAGAAAGGCACTGTTTCTAAATACACACACATACAAAAACACACCGTTTGAAAACTATTGGTCATTCAGTTCCTTTCTTTTCTTTGGAGAACAAGCTTTGGTTCAGATAAATGAAATTACTTGCTTGAGAATATAGAATAAGGCATGGCAGACTACTACTAGTCTTCTGGGTATTGCAGTCTGGTATTGCAACCATTGTGCCATATTGAATCTTACAGACTTGGGCACTTAAAGCATCTGGAGTTTCAGGTTGCTTGATGAGGACCTGCAGTATTTGGGAGAGAATATTCTTCAGTCAGGCCAACTATATTTCCAGATGTCAATTAAAGGCAAAACTTCTGTGTTTATTTAGATATGTTTGGTTGGTTTTTTTTTTTTTAGATTTATTTATTTATGCATACAGAACTGGGGCATAAGCCAGACGAGTAGGGGGTAAGAGGATTCACCAGAGACAGAGTGGGGAAAAGAACAGACAGATGTACTGAAATGCACTGCTGAGGGGAGCAGCAGGTGAGACAGGAGAGGTCTGCCACACCATGTGGATCACATCCCTGGCTGGGGATCGAACTTGTGCTGCAGTAGCTATAGACCGCTTCATAGTGCTGTGTTTTAACCCATGGCACCACGAGGGAGGGCCCTGAACTACACATTTAAGTTAAAATAGTGGGTCACTTTCATAGCAATTCTGATGAGCTGGCAGTGTGTGATGAGTGATTTTTTGAGACCTCGCTGGATTCAGCAGGAGAAAGTGTGATGATTCATTAGTGATGTCTAGTGGGAGCCCCAAAATGGGGGCAGGTAGCCTTAGAGCTAGATACCATCTCTGTAAAGGGTGCTCCCCTTCTTTTTGTGAGTCTAAACATAAAATATCACTATGTTGAATTTCTTCTCAAACAGTGTATTGTTCATTTTCAAATCAGGCGCTCTAAAGAAGGCAGAGTAGGAAAGTATAACAAATGGAATAAATGATCATTTTCTTATTACTGTTGCCTTTTCTGGAATAGGAGGAATAAAGGGTTGTATATCTTAGTTTTTAGGGCATGTGATAGAGCAATGGGAGTTGTGGTTTTTTGTTTTTTTTTTAAAGTGGTCCTAAATATCTAACACATGTGTGAAGATTATGTGGAAATAGAAAACATTTCAGGTAATTTTTTTTTACCCCTTAGGACTTGCCTTCAAAAGTTGACTGAGAATACCAAGCAAGCTGACTGAATTTCTTGCTCTATATCCAAGAAAAGACCAGACAGATCAATTTGGTGGGTTTTGGTGAGTATATTCGTGTCTTTTTCTCCTGCACTTAAGGGAAACCAGACAGGATATCTGCTGCCTGCAATGTGTACCTGGTATGTGTTTATGTGGCAACATTCGTGGCGCATACAATGTGATGTGATGTTATGTTGAAACAGTTTCTAAAAGCATGAAGCAACTATAATCAAATCTCAGGCTAGTTCTAATCCTAATCTTGGAACAACAAGGACACTTTGACTAGATTTTACAGTTAAAAAGTCTCATCTGCTACTATGTTGGTTATCTGTTTCTCTGCACTTTGAATCACAAACACTACGAAAAAAAGTTGCATAATATAGATATTAATCCTGCTTAGTTTTCCATGGCTTTTTATTGTGGTCAATACACATAACTTAAAATTTACCACTTGAACCATTTTTTTTTTAAATTTATCTATTTATGCATACAGAACTAGGGCACAGGCCAGAGTTGCGGGGTAGTGAGAGGATTCACCAGAGATAGAACAGGGAGCAGAACAGGCAGATTGATGAAGTACACTTCTGAGGGGAGCAGTGGGTAGGACAGGAGAAGTCTGCTGTGCCATGTGGGTCACCTCCCTGGCCAGGATCAAACTCGTGTGCAGTGGCTGTGCTTACCTTCATAGTGCTATGCTTTAACCCATTTTGTCACCAGGGAGGGCCCAGAACCACTTTTAGATATACAGTTCTGAGGCTTTAAATACATGTTGTGCAACCACCAGTATCCAAAACGTTGTCATCTTCTCAAACTGATCTGTACTCATTAAACATAACTCCTACTCCTCTGTCCCCCCATTCTACTTTCTGTCTCTATGGATTTGACTATTCCAGGTGCCTCTCATAAGTGGAATTATACAACATGTGACCTTTTGCATTGGGCTTATTTCAATTAACATAGTGTCGTGATTTCCTCATATTGTAACATATGTCAATATTTCCCTCCTATTTAAAGCTGAAGAATATTCCACCATGGATATAGATCATATTTTACCCATTATGAAGTGATAAAACATTTGATTTATTTTCACCCTTTGGTTATGGAATAATACTGCTATAATCATGGGTGAGCAAATATCTGCTTGCATTCCTGCTTTTAATTCTTTTGGATATATACCCAGTAGTGGAATCAGTGGGTTTTAGGTAATTCTGTGTTTAAGTTTTTGAGAAATCACCAGACTAGCTTTCACAGCAACTGTGCCATTTAATATTTCCACCAGCAATGCACAGGACTCAGTTTCTCCACATCCTTGCCAACATTTCTTGTTTTCTATATATACATACTTTGTAACCACCATCCTAAGTGGCAGATCATTGTGATTTTGACTTGCATTCCCTAGTGATTAATTGAACATCTTTTCATGGGTATGTTGGTTACTTGTGTATCATCTTAAAGAAATGTCTATTCATTCTTTACTCGTTTTTAAATTGGTTGTTTTGTTTTGTTGTTGATCATACCATTGTATACTGTGGATAGGAATTCCTTAGTATTTTATGGAACTATTTTCTCCCAATCCATGAGTTGTTTTCTCATTCTGCTGATCATCTTCCGTGATTCACAAATGGTTTTCATTTTGATGTGTACCAATTTACTTCTCTCTTTTATTGCCTGTGCTTTGATGTCATATCCAAAATCATCAAGGTTGTGAAAGTTTTCCCTCTGTATTTTACTCTAAGAGCTTTAGAGTTTTAAGTTCATTGATCTTTGATTTCTTTTGAGTCCATTTTTATATAGTGTGAAAGCTAGGATTGTTTTTCAAGAGGAATTTTTCTAATTCTAGCACATTTTAGTGAAGATGTGTGTGAGCCAGCTAAGCAGGTGACATATATATTCATGCCCAAGGCTCATCTAAAATTATTTTTCCTTAAATGTAGGCATAGGTGGCTTGCCAGCAGACAGGTGAGAGAAAACGGAAGCATAACACCACTGGGGAGTTAAGGCCTGAGCTCTGGTAGCTAGGATACAGCGATGAGGCAGGGCTGGTATCCGCCAGCATTTCGATGTAAACATGTTTCATGAAATCACCAACAAAACAACAACAAAGGTAGACAGAGGCTTTTGTTTGTTTTTTTTTTGCTTGTTTGGCTTTTTTATTTTCATAAATGGATTGTCTTTTGTTTTTTATTATTATAGTAGTTTATTTGTATATCATTTTGTGCCTTTTTCCATCTCAGCTGTGATCCCCATGGGCTTCCCATCATCCCATCACCAATTCACCCGTGTGCTTTTTTTTTTTTTTTTTTAGGCTAAGAATAAAAAGTGTGAGTGAGTGCGTGTGTGTGTGCATGTGTGTGTGTGTGGGGGGATGGAATAGGTACATCTATCTACTTGTCAGCAGAGAGAGAAGACACTCCACCCTGGATGTGTCTGTGAACTGTGAGCCACTGTAAATAAAACCATCTTTTGTACAAAAACTTCTTTCCATGCTGCTTTAGCAAAACAGAAGTAGATTAGCCACAGTTATGTGGGCAAGCTCTTTCCAAAACATTTATCCTAGTTCTCTTTTATTGTGAGCAGAACTAGGTGTGTTCACAGTGTAAAATGTGAAGGTCTGCACAGACTTTTCCATGGCAGCATCTTGTGGAGTCAGAGAGCCACACTGTTGTGTAAGCTGACTCAGGACCAAAGGTCTGTACACAATGATTCCCCCGTGAACTTGGCAATAACCGCACAACAGTCATGTTAACTCATGCCTGTAGGACTCGTTATGTGAACTAGTCTCCACAATGGGACATGGTATTGGAAGTAGGTGTCCAAATTCCAAATAAATAAATGTTAAGTCTGTTAAAGACTGTCTTCAACATCTATGAGAAACAAACTGGCCCAATGCATCCGCTCTTGGTTTTCATGGGGACTGGTTTGTAGAGAAACTGTTTGCTGCTGTAGGTCCTCAAATTCTTAGCCATAAACAGGGATTTGGAGAGAGAGGAAATAACTGAGCCAATTAAATTTTCTAGTGCAGGGTGGGATAAGAGAAGTCATGCTTTCTAAAAACAGTTTGCAAGATGGGTAGACTTTATTTCCCTTGAAGCATTAAAGTCATTTCACACTTTATTAACTCAAAGAATACCCAGTATTTCTCTCTGAGGCTAATAAATGACTAGCTAAAATCAGGGCTGTTATTTTTACTGGTATGTTATTTTATCACTCAAAATATTAACTCTAAGTGCACTCAGTGGAAGTAGAGACTGTGTGTGACATGAACAGCAATTATATTCTGACAGCAGTCCCAGCAGGTTAATGTCATGGAAAGTCATAGGAACATTTCATTCTAAACACCCTAGGCTCAGCAACACCCTGAAAAAAAAATATTTATATATATATATAAAATGTTCATTTCTATTTTTAAGTCTCTTTTCTGAATTCCTTAATATTGTTCTGCTTTCCATGTGGCTTTTGTAGTCCGTGTATGTAAATTTCCAGCTAACTTGAGTTACCTACTTAAATTATAGCAATTAGAAAAACTGGATATCTTCTTCCCTCTCTCTCTCTCTATCTTCCCCTTCTTTTCATAAATGTGTTTTCTCAGGATAAGCAGCTTTGCATTTTTTCAAATATCTACAAATTCTGCCTCATAAAAGCATAAATTTAGTATTTGAATAATTTGTAATTGACAAACTCTCGTCCCTGTCCTAGGTTTAAACCATGTCACTAAATTTTGTTTGAAGAGTGAATACCCATGAAGGAGAGCTGATTCTGGGCTGTGTGTTTGTTCAAACAAAACTTAAAGCAAACAGTCCCATCAATTTCTTTGGTCCTCTGTGGCATACCTCTTAGCATAGGTAATTATTTTCAGGAAACTTGGAACATTGCCTGAGAATTTGAGAGAAAAAAAATGTAATTAAGAAAGGGCAAAAAATAAAAATGTTTCTTTCAGGATGAAAGGTGGCAGGTGGCAGTAACTTTCCCTTGATAAAGCCAGAGGTCCCTGTGCAGGGTCCCCACCCTTGTTCACTTTGCAAAAAGAGGTTCTTTGTGTCACAGATTCTCACGGAACATGGAGAGTAGTAGGCAGAGAGCCAACCTTAGATTTCATGTAGAGACGTTTGGGAACTTCTGTATTTTATTGTAGCCAATTAGCCAATTAACTTTTGATCCACTTTGCAACTTCTCAAGAACCTCTGCTGCATAGTAGGAAACTGCCAAGAGCAGAGTGAGACCAGGTAGAAAAGGACCCCAGAGGCAGAGTTCACAAGCCCAAGCACCCAGATGCTCAGAATTCCTGCTCCTTAGAGCGTTTGGCAACTGTCTGTGGGTCAGGCAATGCCTTTGTACCTATTTTCTTGTAGTGTCGAGTCTATCAGATGTCTGAGCTAATAGAAGTAAAGCATGGGGGATAAGGCAGGAAGAGTTTATGGAAGTTCCACAGCTGCCCAGTCAGTGTCTACTTTATCCAGAAGGGTCTAAGGAAGCTAACAGTTGTATTCAGTATAGTCCATCAGTGGTTGGTGATTGGTGTGGCTTTTGCCCTTGACCTTGCTGATATCTGTACATAAGAAATACCAGCCAGCCCACACCCAAAGCTGGCCTGTACACTCCTTAGTGTGGTCTTTTGGAAAACACACTGCTGAGCAATACTTGGTATGATTGTGCATGCATTTTGCGGTCTAGATCTACCACCAAAGTTGAATATAGATTAATGGGGAAAAAATGTCAAAAATTATTTGCTAGTAATTATACATATGTAATAACAGTCTTTTTATAGCTTTGTCTTAACACGTTTCTTATAAAAGACTGCACTCAGCTACTGGCTCATTTATTCATTCCTTTCTACAAGCATTCATTCAGTACTAGGCACTTGGACACCAAAAAGCTCCCTGCTTTTGAAGCTGCAGTTATTAATGAAATAAGCCATTTGTTTGGATTTTTCCAATGCATTTAAACAGTATAGAAGAAAGTGGAAATACAGCACAAAATAGTGAAAATCACTTCATAATAGAAAGTATGATATTTGTTTGTTAACATGGAAGAACTGGGGTGTAGGCCAGAGGTACCAGGGGAAG